ATACTTAACATGCCTAGAAAGTGGGTCCTGAGCACACCCCCTAAGTCTTGTGACCCCAGTCTTCCACACATTAATTAACACTCATTCTATCTTCCTCATTGCTTGAATAAAATAATAGTCCTAATTGTCAGCTTGACATGGTTTAGACTCATCTGGAGGGAGAGTCTCAATGAAGCGTTGCCTGGATCAGGTTGAGATTGTGGGAAGATTCAGCCAACTGTCAGTGGCACCACTCCCTGGGCAGGAAATCCAAGACTGAATAAGGGTGGAGAAATCCAGTCAAGCACTAGCAAGCAAGGGAGTATGCATGCGTTAACTTGTCTCTGCTCTTGACAGTGGACGTGATGTGACTATTCGAAGTTACTGTCTTGACTTTCCCACAAGGATGGACTATAAGCTGAAATAAACCCCCTTCTTCCCCAAATTGCTTTCCATCATAGTATTTTAGCATAACAGAAATTAAAACGAAAGAGGGGCCATCCTTGGCTCCTCATCCTCTCTCCCATCCTGTGTACAATCCATCTGAACGTGATCACTTCTCTCAGTCACAGACACAGCTTCCTGTCTCCCTGATTCTGTCCTTGCTTCCTGACGTCCTGTTCTTAACACCCAGTTGGATATGTATGTAGTTATAAATTTGAGGTCATTGTCCATATGCTGCACATCTGCCTAAAGATTGTTTAAATTATATATGGGAAACATCAGTCGGTAAGCAATATATGTTCTTGAAAATTATAGGTTATAGCCACTCATGTTTCTTATACCTAGTTATGTTAGGCAGGTTCTCTATATACTCAGAGATGTGCTCAGCATAGACATTTGATCTTCTGATACTGCAAAGACCTACAGAATATAGATGGCATTTAAATGTTTTAATAACTTAGAACCCCGTTGACATGAGACACAATTGCTCCTGGAGGCACCAAGCATTTCCCAGGAGTATCGTGGGCACCAATGACACTCCATTTGGAGTTCATTTTCTTCTTGGCAATACTGGCTTTTTTTGGGCAAAGAACTGCCCTTTCCTTGACCACTGGCTTTGGATACACTGTCCTAACTGGACAAGCAGGAGATAAACAAAAAGAGACTGTTGAACCTTGCCAAGTCAGGGTAGGACAGTCTTTCAAATTTTCCTGCTTCGGATAAAGTGTGTCAGATATGCTAGGTCTTCACCAAGGTTGGCTTCCCTGATGTTACTATGAGACCTTAGATGACTGTCCAGGTAGTCTGCTGTTTCTGTCATTTCTTGAACCTTTAGGAAGTTGCCCACTTGCATTTCCTGCTTACCCTAGTGAGGATATTTTCCTTCTCAGGTCTTCGATGAGGCTGAAGACTAGATAGTCACAGTTATATCCTCTCTTAACATACCTAGAACATTTTAGGTACAAGACTTAGACTTGCCAGAATAGGACAGCTATCGGAGTAATCTCTGTTATTGCCATTACCCTGGGACTGGACGTTTTGTATATGTTTCTTGCTTAATGTTGTTCTTGCTGGTTGTAGATCTAAATTTGTGTATGTTTTTACCTTTCTTTCTCCTGGACTATATTTGGCATGACATGCTATCATTGTACCTAGCTTTGTATCAGGCTTAAGACCCTCTTATTTAGATAAAGGTGGGGATTGTAGTGGCATCTTGTTTCTCCAGTGAACTTGCAGTGGTGGCCTCATCCTAGGGGCATGGCTTCATGTGTGCAGATGTGACCCCTTATAAGGAAGAGGAAGGGTTGGCTCGCTCTCTTGGGCAGTAGCTGGAACTCTGGAGACGGCTTCTTCAGGAGCAGGAAGACCTTGGCAGTTATTTACTATTAATTGTGTAAGTGCTTCCCTAATAAATGCCTGTTATCTTAGGTTTTGTGGACTCATTTAAACCCCCGCCTTCAGTCAGTCAGGTCTGTGCTGAACCTTAAGCCAAAATACAAAACTTCAGTTCTCAAATCCTCATGGCTTCTCATCTGACTCAGAGAAAAAGGCAGGGCCCCTCACAGTCAGCCATTGAGACAATGAACATCACTGTGCCACTGTGACTCTTGGGACCTCAACCCTGATCTCCAAATGTAACCTACTTTCTGCTCCTTAAGTTCTCCAGGGTACCTGCATCTGCTGAACCCCTGATCTAGGATCCAGAAATGCACTCTCCCAGGGACCTGCCTTGCTACTCTGTCTTTATACCATTCCTACATGGCATCCCCTTGGGGACACCCCTTTCTGATACCATGTTCAAACTACAATTTACAGTCTCCCTTGTTCCTCCTCACCACGTCTCTCCGTGGCACCATCACCATTGAGTACCCATGCTTCTGTTTAACCACTGTATCCTGCATCTTTTGAGGCTGGGGAATGGCCCTATCTCTAGTGCCTCATAACACCGGGGTTCAGTGTAAGATAACTGCAGAAGAGATGAGAAGATTGCCCTCAGTCCAGAGAGAAAGTCACACCACCCAAGGTTTGGGGTTCATTCACAAAGCCAGCATAACTCCAGTTGAAGTTCTGAGCTTGTCGGGTTTGCCTTTCTCTAGGAACTGGCTCAAGGCAATTCCTGGCTGCTGAAATAGGTCCACGGGCATCACAGGTGATTCTCAGGTTCACCACTCTCTTTCAGAGAGGCTCAGCTCCTGGATAGGGCTACTCCATGGGTTCACAGGCCGCTGAGGACATGAGAACTGGATGCTGCCAATGGGAAGTCAGAAAACTGGCTGGAGACCCAAGCGCTTTACCCCACATTCTCCCCATCTATTAAAAATGTTTTAATTAGAAGCTAGGTGTGATGGCTGTCCTCATTATCTTTAACTGTCAACTTCATAAAGCCTAGAGTCACCAGAGAAGGGAGTCTCAATTAAGTGATTGCCATAATCAGATTGGCCTGCGGGCATGTCTGTGGGAGACTGTCTCGATTGTTAACTGATACAAAAGGGTCCAGCCCGCTGTGGGTGGCACTATTCCCTGAGCAGGTAGTCCTCGGCTATATAAGAAAATTACCTGAACATAAGCCTGTGAATCAAAAAGCAACATTCCTTCATAGTTCCTGCCCTGACTTCCCTCAGTGGTAGACTGTGACCTAAAAGTATAAGCCAAGTAAACTCTTTCCTCTTGAAAGCTGGTTTTAGTTGGGAAGTTTTATCACACCCACAGTCACACATCTGTAACCCCAGAACTAGGAAGGTAGAGGCAGGCAGTTTAGGAGTTCAAGCCTAGCTTTATCTATTCCTGACCACTCTGGGGCTACACAAAATACTGTACTGTTCCAAAATAAATAAGCAAAATGAAATAAGTATCTCTCTCTCTCTCTCTCTCTCTCTCTCTCTCTCTCTCTCACACACACACACACACACACACACACACACACACACACACACACACACCAAACAAACAAAAAACACGTAAAACATGCCTGCCTTGGAATGGAATGGGATCAACATGATGCCCGACTGCAACTCTAAAGATGAACAAGTTCTACTCACCACACTCAGCCTGGGGTCTCTCTCCTCCAGGGACTTCCAGGATTAACCCAGGAACTCACTACTGACTTCAGTAAGAGTCCTTGACCCCTCTATCCTATTGTGTAGCTCATGAATAAGGCAGGGGACACCCAGAAAAGCTTTTATAACACCTGAAGAGGAACCCAACCAGCTAGTTTCCTTTCTGGGAGCCTGAATATCCACAAAGGTTGCCATCACCCCTCCAAAACTGCCAGCAAAACTTCAGAGGAGCTGGGCAGACATGCTGACTGCAGAAGCCTGCCCTCCAGGCCTTTGCTTCTTCTCTGCCTATTGCTCTGACTGGGGCTCAGACACTTTAATTTTCTAGTCTTGCTACCACCCTTACAAGAATTGGGAGAGCCGTGGCTTCTGGAGAACACTCATATGAGTATATTGCCTCTGGTTTTCTCCTCCAAGAGTACTCACCTATTTCATATAAAGTGGTGCATTTGCATATATCCTTCAAACACTCTTTCCATCTACAATATTCAAAATCATCTCTTGATTACTTGCAAGAAGTTACACAGCCTAAGTGCTGGGGAAACAGTCATATTTAGAGAACAGCAAGAAGAAATGTCTCTGGTCAACCAGATGGCTCATCGGATAAAACCAACTTGTACACACAATCCTAACCACTGAGTTTAATCCCCAGACTCTACCTCTATGGGAGGATAAAAGCAATCCCGCAAGTTGTCTTCTGACCTGCGTGCACCCTGACACACACACACACACACACACACACACACACACACACACACACACACAACTCCAGAGATTCACACCTCATATACATCATCCACACATAATATTTTATATTTAACTTTAAAAAGTTGAAAAGCTAAAAGCTACCAGTAAATGGGCCAATAGAGTGAGTGAACAGGCAGTTCACTCATGAAGTACAAATGGCCAATATACACATTTTTTAAAACGTCCAACATCCTTAGCCACCAGATAAATGCAAATTAAAACTATTTCAAGATTCTATCTCACTCAAGTCATAATGGCCCATCAAGAAAACATGACAACAAATGACTAGGATGCTCAAGGAAAGGGGAATCTTTATTTACTATAAACAAGTGTAGCCCTGTGGAAATCAGGCTACAGCAGAGGTTCTCAATTCTGGGGGGGGGGTCAAATGACCCTTTTGCAGGGGGTTACCAGAGATCATCAGAAAACGCTGATATTTACATTACAATTCATAGCAGTAGCAAAATTACAGTTATGAAGTGGCAATGAAAATAATTTTATGACTGGGAGTCATCACAGCATGAGGAACTGTGTTAAAGGGTTGCAGCGTTAGGAAGGTTGAAAACCAATGGTCTACAGTTTCATATATATATACATATATACATATACAGAGACCTACAATAGGACCCAGTTATATACTTACCCCTGGGAAAGTACCAGAGGGTGCCTACATCCCACTACAGAGAAACATGCCCAGCCTTATTCGATGCTGCTTCACTCACAACATCAAGGAAAAGGAATCAATGGATGGATCTGGGCCTGGTACTAACATACCTCTGATCCTAGCACTCAGGGTACAGAGGCAGCTGGATCTCCGTGAGCTGCAGGCCAGCCTTACCATCGTAGCAAGTTCTTTGCCAGCCAGGGATAGTAGGTAAGACCCTGTTTCAAAGAGGAAAAAAAAAAGAAATCAAAACAAAGAAAAAAACAAATAAACAAAACCCAAATGAAAGGATGATGAAAATGTGGTGTATTGCACAACAGAACTTTATTCAGTTGTAGGAAAGCTGACGTAAAATTGCAAGAAGACAGAACAGGGCAGGAAAGTGTGGCACTAAGTGAGTTAGCCCAGGCTCGGAAACACTAATGCAGCAGGCATTCTCTCATTTGGAAATCCTCACTTCCAATTTTTGCACTTATGTGGGAGTGGGTGTGCTCAGTCAGGAAAGTAGGAATGGGGCCCTGAAGGGGGCGGGGGGGGGGGTAGTAGCTTGAAGAGGAGACAGGAGGAGGACAGAACAAAGGTGACACAACAAAGTGGGGAAGGAGAGTATCAGGGGCAGAGAGGTCAAGCCTGGAGACCAGCAGCAGAGGTGGGGGAGGGGTAGAAGTCAGTCTAAAGGACAAAAACGGGCCACAAGGAGACCTGCCATTTTATATGTTCATTTAAAAAGAAAATTTAAGTGTTAAGAACGTCTTCAGTCTGCAGCAGGTGGAACCTGTTGGTTGGAGAACTCCCAGATACAAAGAGGTGACTTGCACACTTGCACACTTACAAGTCACCAAGAGGTGGATTTTTAAATGTTCCCACTACAAAAAAGTAAGGAAGGAAAGAAGGAAGGAAGGGAGGGAGGGAAGGAGGGAGAGAGAAGGAAGGAAAGAAAGAAAGAAAGAAAGAAAGAAAGAAAGAAAGAAAGAAAGAGAGAAAGGATAAAGATAAGCATGTAAATCAGTACACATGTAAATTAGCTCAATTTAACCTGGCTTCCCTGTGAACGCATTTCAAAATAACCAGACTGTATGCATGAATACACACCACTTTTATGTGTCAATTAAAAGGTTTTTTATTTTGTTTTGTTTTGTTTTGTCAACGGCTAAAGTCAGGATGTGATCCAGAGACTCCAGAGGGTCTGGGACCACCTGCTAGCCTGAGGAGTTCCTTTTTCTTCTGAAATGAATCCTTGAGAGCACCACACACCTGCAGTGTTTGGAGGAGAAACCCGAGTGCTTCCATCCCTGAGGAGGAGTTTGTTTCCAAAACAGGGTCTCCTCTCTAGGGTGGTAGCCCACAGCAGAAGTGCAACTCCAGAGCCCCAATGCTAGGCTCAGAGCTGGAATTGCTGCTTACCAATTGGCCTTCAATCCAGTTAACATAGGGCAAGAGTCAAGGGGAATGCTCCAAGGCTTAAAAACCTTTCAAAGGAGTTTCTGGGACACAAGTTAATGGGCCGTGATGAAAGTGAACAGAACTAGAGCCGGAAAGGTGGTTCATCAGACAAAAGCGCTTGCTGCTCTTTCAGATCTGAGTTTGATTCCCACAACCACCTCCAGGCCCAGGTGATCCAACACTCTCTTCTGGCTTCTGTGGGAACCCACACATGTGGTATACATAGACACAGAAATACACGCGCGCGCGTGCACGCGCGCACACACACACACACACACACACACAAACACGAAAATTAAAAGCAAAACAAAAATCGTCAATTCCCTCGAGTGGTAATGTCATCTTATGAGTAGGTTTACACCACTTGTAGCTGTGAGTCTTGATGAATTACCATTGATGATCATTGAATAGCAGCTTTCTTTTACTGAGTACCTACATGTACCAGGTGAATTACATATGAGTTTCATGATTCTTGACCCTGGATGATGTCATTGCAAATTGGCTTTCCTGGTGAGGAAAGGGTTCTCAGGCCGATGACAGGCTTGTCCAAGGTCACGCTATTAGCAAGAGACAGAACCTGGCATTTGAACTCACATCATCCTTCCGCAGAAGGCATGTGCTCACCCCTATCCAAGCGGCCTCATAAAGGAAAGACACCAACAAATGAGGAATTTTTTTTCCAGACATGACTGGCTCTTTACCAATTATATCAAAATGTAATTATTTCAGAAAAAAAAAAACCATTTCTCTGATCAAACAAATCCTCCCCAAACACAGCATCATGTCAAGGTGCAAAACCCTTCACTGCATCGTGTGACTTTGATACCTAACAAGGAAGTCCCAGCTGTTTGTTCCTCTTCTTATGAAGACTGAGTCTTTGCTTTGCAGTCAAGAGCAAGACGGGACTTTTCCTCAAGTCAGTTAGGCCACTTCGTAACCTCAGGTCCCTTGGAGACTCTAGACTCGGAAGCTGAGGAGGCTGTGCTTAGCAGGCACTTGGCTGCCCAAGCCTCAAGGATGTGAGTCAACTCTACAGAAGACGTTACCATCTTCAGCAAGGAGATTATCCGGTATTATAGGAGATTAAGGTAAGGAAGAAACACAGTTATCTTTAATCCCATGTCTAATGAACTGAGAAAGAATTCCTTGTTAGAAAGATCTACCTGCTTCACAGGATTGAAAGTAACTTTCTGATAAGTCTTCTGTTGCCCTGGGGCGAAGACAGCACTGGGCTTACCTGCAGCCACAGAAGCAACTGGAAAACCTGGTGCCAGAAGTTCAGACCACAGGCGTGGCTCTCTTCCCAGCGTCCTCCCTCATTTCTAGGTCAAAGTGAGATGTCTGAACAGTGCCCCCGGCAAGCATTTGCTGTACACACTGGCTGTGTGAAAAAAAAAAATGATGCATCCATAGGAAGGTTGCTATGAGATTGTGTCTCCTAGAAATGCTGGAAGCTGTACTCATAAAACCTCACCAGCATGACTGCCTACACGGGAGCTGAACATGGACAACAATAGACATGCCAAAGTGGGTGGTGGGAAAGTCTATCATCCTCAACCCTACGCAAAGAACTAAACACAAGTAAGGAACGCTGAGAGTGGAGAAAACAGTCTTCCCCAGCGAAGAGCACACCAGTTGGTTAACCAATACCAATTGATCGGACATGAGCATACATTCAAGTAATATTATACAGGCTGAACAGGTTATATTTTAGGAATATATATACACATACATACACACACACATATATCAACAATTAATGAAACAAAGCGGCCATAAATTTGAAGGAGAGCAAGGAGGGGTATATTCGAGGGCTTGGAAGAAGGAAAGAGAAGGGGGAGATTACATAATTTACATAATTATATTATAATCTCAAAAGCAAAGATGTATCCAGCTGGGCTTGGTATAGAGCTCAGTGGCAGAGTACTAGGCCCTACACTCAATCCAAGACTTAAGAAAGAAAAGATAGATGGGAGCCAGGAGTGGAAGAGCCTATTGATGTAGCCTTGGTGACTGGAAGTTGAGGCAGGAAGATTGCAGGTTTGAGGCTGGGATTAGCCTAGGCTACATAGTGTTTTTGTTGTTTTAAGTGATAAACCAATGAGGGGATAAAAGAAAGAAGAAGTTTTCCAGGGCTGAGGATGTGTAGCTCAGCTGTAGCTAAGTTATAGCTTAGAGTGTTTGTTTACTATGCACAAAGCCCTGGGTTGAATGCTGAGACTACATAAAACTAGGTTAATGGTTCATTAGGAAGCAGAGGCAGAAAGATTGGAAGCTTAATGTCAGTCATCCTCAGCTACATAGGAGTCTGAGTACATCATGGGCTACATGAGACCTGGGCAGGGGGAGATAGATGCTAGGTAGGTAGGTAGATAGATAATAGGTAGATAGATTCATAGATAGATAGACAGATTTATAGATAGCTAGATAGATGATAAACAGATTCATAGATAGATGATAGAGATAGATAGATAGATAGAGATAGATAGATAGATAGATAGGTAGGTAGATAGATAGATAGATAGATAGATAGGTAGATAGATAGATAGATAGATAGATAGACAGACAGACAGACAGACAGACAGACAGACAGATAGATAGATAACTCAGTACCTAGCATGCCTGAGGTCCTTTATTCCTCAGCATCACCAAATAAAAAATTATAATTGGATAAGGCTTCAGTCTTAGATCTCAACTCCAATCCTACTTTCTCAGGTACTCCAGGTTATCAATAAAACCTTCTAGACCTGTGTACATTCATATGAAAGTGTGTTCACACAGGTGCCCATTGGAACTTCACATATATTTTTTTCTATAGTTCTGACCTCACATAAATGTGAGATACCCACTGATACCTTGGTTCTTTTTTTTTCATTGTTTTTTAAAGATGTCTCAGAGATCTTGCCATACTGGAAACCACACACTTTAAACACAGCTTCAATGAGGAAAAATCAAGTATAATTGGGTCCTTAGTTTCCATGGATTCAACAAAATTTCTATCAAAAGTATTTTTTATTTATTTACTTTTTAATCTGTGTATGAACACCCATACACGTGCCTTGTCGTTTTTTTTTTTTACACCCCTCCACCTCTGTGTACATGAGGCTAGAAACTTCCCCTAGCTGATGAAATGGGCTAAGTATTATTGCAAAAATTAAGGGACATAATATGTAGAAAGCAGATAGTAAGTGTTCCTAAACCCTGTTCATCATCATCACTATCTCTGTGTGGCCTGGACACCTCTAACTCTGGCTGTGTTCATTCATATCTGTGTGACTGAGCCTCCCACCCCTGTGTCCATATTGAGGAAGAGGTCAGGTAAGGGCATTTTCATGTTTTAAAACAGTCCCTTTGATCATTTGTGGAAATGCCTATAGTCAATAGGGAACCTCAGAGGAAAATTGGGGTTCTGTTTTATGCCTTCCAGGCCTCTCTGCGCACACCAACCCCATCATCAAAGGGATCATGGTAAGCCAACTGCAAACCAAAACGAAACTGGTTACTAAGATGAGGAGTGATTCATAGTGTGTAGCAGCTCATTAAGAAAAAGAAAAGGGCATTTGCTAATGAGTACAGAGAACGTCAGAAAATGAGAGAGACCTACTCCGCCGACAGTCCTAGAGTCGCACAAATCTAATTTCCCAACAGCCGGGAGAAGATGAAATTACCCAGAGCCAGCCGGCTGCCGCGCACAGATGGGATAATCTCGTGGAAACATTTTACGGTATATCGCTTGAAGAAAAGTGCATTTGTCTTTCCTGAAAGCAAAAAATGGTTTAGTTGACCTTGAAAATAGAAGCATTCATGAGACATATGAGCAAAAGTTTTCATTATTCCTTAAGCCCTTGCTTCGGAGAGACAAAAAAATTCCACCCTCCACTGCCACGCCACAATGCCAAGTTGCCTGGCAACTGATCTTTTATGGTGGATCGCCACGGAGACGGATGTAAACACAACCATAAATCCCATTACCCTGCTAAATACTGGGTCTGGATTTAGAAAAAAAAAAACACCCCCCCCAAAAAAAAGCAAGCAAAAGAGCGGCTTTTCAGGTTAAAAGAGATAATAAGAAGCTGTGAGTGCCGAGATTTCAGCCGAGTAAATTGTCACGGGTGAGACTTTGATTAAGGTAGGCCGGCTCTTACTTTCAAAACCGGCAATGGCCCCTGGTTTTCCCGTAGCAAAGAAAGTAGTTTTAGTTGAAAGAGTCATTCCAACTGAGAAAATTAACACCAGGAACCCCAGGAACCAGGCTTAGAAACAGACACATATCCTCAGTGATTTTATTTTCCTCCAATAAGGTCTCACTATGTAGCTCTGGCTCTCCTGAATCAAGCTCATTGTGTAGACCAGGCTGTCCTGAACTCACAGAGATCAATCTGCCTGCTTCTGTCTCCCAAGTGCTGGGACTATAGGTGTGGGCTGCCACCATTCAGCCTCAGTGATTCTTCAAGTGGATTTCCACCAGCATCATCCTCCATTAATGGTCATTTGGGAAAAGCATCCCCAAGAAGGAGTCACTGGAATGGAGCCCATGTCCCTGGCAGACTGTAGCAGATGTTGGGTTGATAGACTCTTGAGTCATTCCTGGAACTCTCTTGCAAATGTCTCTTCCTACTCAACAGACCAAGTGGAAGCTCATGGTGAGGGCATCTTAGAAGGGAGATTCTCACTAGTCTGGACCTAAGACCTTCAGCCTATGGAGACCTCTAGACCTCTGCCCAGAAGAGCACCCCAAATCCCCTACCAGGGTCATTGATTTCTGTTAAGGGAACAGCTGATGTCATGGTTTCCATCAGAACAGCAGGTTTGTTATTATTATTATTATGTTATTACATTCCTTTTATCTGATATGTGGATATTTATGTATGGATGTGTGTGCCACGGTACACACGTGGCAGAGGACAACTGTAGTAGTCAGATCTCTCCTTCTATCATGTGGGTCTTTAGGATCAAACTCAAGCTGTCAGGCTTGGTGGCAAGCACCTGTACCTTGCTGAGCCCTCTTGCTGGCCCAGCACTCTTGTGGTCAGACCCAAGAAGTACTTGCAGCAGGGTCCCTAAAGGAATACTATGACTTCTACTGCAAAGATATTTGTAGGCGGATTAAGGAAGCTCACAAAAGCCTAGATAAAAGAGTATCATATATTTATTTGGTTAACACTTACTCAATGAAGGTAAAAAGCCAACAGAGCCTTCTGCCCTGGAGGTACAAGATGCTGCTCTCAGCTCTCCAACCACCACCCAAGAAAGTACCAGCTTGCTCCCAGTCTACACGTAGAACCTGAGATACCAAAGACTATTGACTGAATGAGCTCCCACAACAATTCCCCCTTTTGTCTAATTAGGAGTGTTCTAAACCTAATACAAAACTATATACAATAAGAACAAAACTCAAGTAATGTCCAGGAAAAGGGTAAAAAAATACACAAAATTAGAACTGAAACCAACCAGAACATTGTCAAGCAAGAAATGCACTCTAGATGCCCAGGCTAATGGTATCAGGCAAACAGCAGAGATTATTCCAACAGATGTCCTTCCTGAGGAGTCTAAGTCTTACACTTGAATGTCTTAGCTAAGACATGAGAGGATAGTAGCTGTGACTATCTAGTCTTCAACCCCCTCAAAAAGACCTGGGAAGGAAAATAATATTACCCTAGTAAGCAGGAAGTACAAGTGGGCAACTTCTCGAAGGGGCAAGAAATGTCAGAAACAGCTGGCGACCTGCACAGTCACCCAAAGTCTCACTGAAACTTTGGGGCAACCAACTTTGCCTGAGGCCTAGAATATCTAACAGACCATTTTCAGAAACAGGAAGATTCGAAAGACTGTTCTACCCTATCTTGGCCAGGTTCAGCAGTCTCTTTTGGCTTGTATCCTCCTTGTCCAATTTGGACAGCGTGCCCGCTGACAGCAGTTGAGGCAGTGGCTGTTCTTTACCCAATAGGTCAGTTTTGCCAAGAAGGAAACAAACTCCAAATGGAGTGTCTCCAGTGCCCAACATACAATCAGAAATAGATAGCTCCATGCTGCCAGGAGCAACTGTGTCTCATGTCAACAGAGTTCTAAATTATTAATAATGTTTAAGTTTTCCACAGTGAGCAATACATTTTCCTAACAGCAATCTCTGATGTTTACAGAAAGGAGATGGGGCTCCCACAACAGCAGGTCCTACTGCAGACAACTTCAGGGAGTCAGCAACTGTTTGTGCATTGGCACTCCTGAGCAGCATAAGCCAACTCCAGAGCACATTAGTGAAATATCAGCTCCTGGGACAATGGCAGACCTATCAAACTGGAGCTCCTAGAGATGGAGCCCAAATATTGACGTTTTAGAAGAGAGCCTGGGTTTAACCACTGTTAGACTCAACGCTTTGCATGCGGGCACTTTGGGTCTTGTTGGCTTTGTCCTGGTAAGGAGGTATCAAGCCATTAAGTACCAACCATCAGATCCATGTTGAAAAGACACTTATAGTCCTTCCTGTGTGTGGTCGAATCCAGACTTCCGTAGCCCAGCGTCTCCATTCCATTGTTCTTCTCTCTGAATGATTAGTATACAGTCCACACTATTGTCTCAGTTTCCGGCTCCCAACAATTGATTCTAGCACAAGGTCACTAAAGCAAGTGACCTATCAAATCAAGGAGCAAGCCACACTAGAAGAGTGGAGTCCTGGGCACATGTATTCTTAGGGGGACAGCGACTGCAGTCTTCAGCACAGGAAAGGGGTGGTGTCTGCGTTGTTCTTCCAGGCAAGACATGAGTATGGATCTTTGTGTGACCTGGAATTAGGGCAACTAATTCAAGTTCAACAAACTGCAGATAAGTAAAATTGGACTCTCAAATGTTTACTATCAAGATCCTTAGGCTCAAGAAGGCCTCCGCACATGTGGAAGCCTGCGGAGTATAAGGTAAAACTAGAGCAGCAATGTTCCCAGTAATGAAACCCTACAGGACCTTACAGAGCCTGTGTGACCCTCTCCATCTCTGCCTGAGAGTTCTCAGCCGTCCAGAGATTTGGCCCAGAGCATCTGGGAGCAAGACGGGTGGTGGTCTGTCCTGTCACTGACACAGGCCTGCAATAAGCACACCGGTGCCGGTAATTTTTCTGGGAGAGAGTTATAAGAGGTGCCAGTATACGGAGTGGAATGGAATAGGGGGAGACAAGCACACGTGTGTGGGGGTTGGGGCGTTAGAGCCCGCCTGGCATTCCAGCCTTGCCCTAACTTGGACTTCCGATTAGGCAAATTCAGCACTAGCAATGGAATGGTTTTATTCAAGGACGTGCCTGGAAAGAAAAAGAGGGTGGAGTGGAGGGAGCAGGGAGAGTGGGCAGAAGTGATAAGGGCTAGCCTGGGCAAGTGGAGGGGGGGGCAGAGTTGGATGGAAAGGTCTAGAGTGCCATGGATCTGGAGTGGGGCTAGTGATGTCCTTGGAAAACCCTAAAGCCAGAGCATCTCTGGGCAGCCTGAACTCTGAGGGCTAAGTAGCCATTCTGAGTGATTGGCTAGACACATGGCCTCTACACGGATACTGATAGTTGATTCCAAGGTTCGGCAGAGAAGGCCTGCTATGCTTTCCCCTCACTCCAGTAAAGGATAATCAGAAATAATTTGGGAGTGCACTGGATTTGCTGAAATTTGAAGGGCAAGGGCTCAGCTTATTTTAATCATAGTTAAAGAAGAGGCAATCCTACGGTGCATAAATAAAACATCGTTATCTCTGAGTTGTGGAGTGAATAAAAGCATTTCCTTCCCCCTCTTAAGTGTAGGAGTTCCCTGATAATAGACATTAGGTGCTCTGGTAAGTGGAGGCAGGCATAGCTGCTCACCTACCAGTTAAATCCATTTGTCCTCCCTGACAGAACCCTCACACTTCAGGTCTGAATGAGAACTCTTGCCCTGAGCACTACCTGGTCCTGCTCCTCCCCAGTGACTAACTAGCCTGGGAGCAGAGAAGGTGCTCAACCCTGGAGTGTTCTCAGACACACACTGGGATGTTTCTCAGCTCCAGAGCCCCTCAGAGTAAGGCTCAGACCGAGCCTCCCTCCCTCCTCTCTTGAGATCACAGACCCCACACACTGTGAGCTATAGAGTCTTTGATTTGGGCCCTTCTCCTAGAAGACCCTTACTAGAACATGGATTTTTTTTTAAATTCTTGCATAGATGCTATCAAGGCTTCCCCCCACCCCTCAGGCTTATATGCCTAGTTGGCTATCCAATTTATTTTGTGCTGTGAAGAAACTAAAAATTTCAAATTCCCATGCTTACTTTCAAGAGTGTCAAATTCAAATTAGCCTGGGATGAGGCAGTTAGTGCCCATATAGGAAGTCAATCTGATGGGGACCAAGGTAGGCTGGGGACAACCTCCTTATCCAAAGGGAGACAGCAGTGGTTAGACCTTCTGAATTTTTTCTTTGACATGCCAAAAAGTCAGGATATTTATGTGACAATCTCCATATTTTTCAATGTTGGCAGAGACTTCTCTAAAAGTTCCTCAATAGCCAAGCAAAACACATTTGTGACAGCATGTAGTCCCCAAGTTGCCACTTCACATCACCAAAATACCATAAGGAGGGGTCTCTTGTGAATGAACTTGGGGTGGCCCCAGACCCTTAGCATCAGCAGTACCAACAAAGTGAGCAGATAGCATGGAGGGAGTCATTCAGTTCCTGTCTCAGCCATTCTTGGTTGTCAACTTCCTGGATCTGGAACCAACTAAAACCCAATCCTCTGGGCACTTTTTTTTTTTTTTTTTTTTTTTTTTTTTGGTTTTATGAGACAGGGCTTCTCTGTATTGTTTTGGAGGCGGTCGGTCCAGCCTGGCCTCGAACTCACAGAGATCCGCCTGCCTCTGCCTCCCGAGTGCTGGGATTAAAGGTGTGTGCCACCACCGCCCGGCTTCCTCTGGGCACTCTTAGGAAGGGGTGGGGGGTGGGTTTCTCGATCAGATTATTTGAAGAGGGGAGATGCACCGTAAACCTGGGCAGCACCATGTGGTGGCAGCCCAGACAATAGGACACTGGAAGAAAGAAAATTCACTTTGTCCCTGTCTGCCTTCACTTTCACTGGCACGTGCAGTCTACTTTGTTGCTACCGCTGCAACATTTCTTCACCGTGATTCAAGCCAACTTCTTTGTGGTTCCTTCACAGGCTGAAGACCAGCGGCTCTCCAGGAATCCTCCAGGTTTCCTGTGCCAGGTTGTGACTGCTGAGACATCCAGCCTCGTGGACAGAGGAATCCCTCCCTCCCCAGACTCTCAGTCTCTCCAGCGTGAGACGGTGCAGACTACCCCAGACGGTATCATTAGCAAACCCTGGCTAAATACAATTGGCTTACACGATGCAGTCTGGGAAGTCTAATAATGGCTGTTTGCTGCTTGCCCTGAGAGGCTGAGAACCATAAGTTGCTCTGTCCATTAAGGTGAACATCTCAGCAGTCTCAGTCTGGTACTGAAGGCTAGGAGGGTTCCTCAGGAAGGAGTCGAGTGTCAGCAAAGGATGGAAGCAAGGGCAGAGTGGACCCACTGGCACCAGCAAGGAGCTAGGATGGGCAGCAAACAGCCCTCCCTCCCTCCTCTCAGACCTGTTTACAGCTAATCTGCTGCTGGAAGGTGTTGCCCAATCTGAATGATGCTCTTCTGGTCTTTGCAGCTGATCCCTGCAGGAAATCTCCTCTCAGACCCATCCAGAGGTCCGACTCTCGGTTTATCCCAGATCCAATTGAGTGGACAACCAAGAGTAGCCATCACGGGAGCCTCTGAGGCACCGCTGTCTCCTTGTGCTGTCACAGCAGAGAGCAGAAACGTAGCCAACTACTCTTCAACAGGCTGCAGCCTCTATCTTCCCCCCCAGTACCGCCGCAATACACCCCAAAAATCAGCTCCTACCACAAAACACGCTGTGCCTATTTGACCTTGACTCTAGGCTGTAAATTTTGCTCAGATCTGTCAAACATGCTCGCTCTCTCTCTCTCTGGCATGAATGGACTGACCACCCAGAACACGTTCTCACACGGTAACAGAAACAAAAAAGACAGACTCAGACAGCCGTGTTTCAAAGCTTGGCTTCCTGCACACCGAGAGCATTCCTCCTGTCAAAGCAAGTCATATGGCTAAAGCCAGTGTCATCAAGGCAAGAAAATGGTCCTCCACCTCGTATGTGAAGAGAAAGGATGGACGTAGAGGGAGAGGTAATGAAAACTCAGAACTATCATTGCATACACCAAATGGAGTCCTTCCTCCTCCCTCTTTCTCCCTTCTCCCTTCCTCCCTCCCTCTCTCCGTCCCTCCCTCCCTCCCTCCCTCCTTCCTTCTCTCCCTCCCTCCCTCCCTCCTGCCTTTCTTCCATGCCTGTTCCTCTCTCTCCCTTCTTCCTTCTCCCCCCCTTCTCTACCTGTTTCTTTGAGACAGGGACTGGCCTCCAACTCATGATCCCCCTGCCTCAGCTCCTCGCATATCAGGATTACGAGGGTGTGTGAAGCCATGACTAGCTGTGATAACTATACCACGTGATAGAAGGCATTTCTTTGTCAAGTACACCCACAAAACCATGTTTTGTTTCCATGTCAGTAGGAATCCTGTTAGTGTGTGTGCATAAATGAGTTTCTGTGTGTGTGTGTGTGTGTGTGTGTGTGTATGAGTTTGTGTGAGCATGAGCACATTCACGTATGTGTAGGCATGTAGAAGCCAAAGGTTGATGGTGGTGTCTTCCTCTATCACCATCCAGCAACCACCATTGTTTTTGGGGGCAGGGTTTCTCACTGGCCCTGGAAATTGCCATTTCAATTAGACTGGACCTCAGCAAGCTCCAGAATCCTCTTGCCTTCAGGATGAGAGGCATGTGCCACTCCAAGCTTTTACATGGGTTCTGGAAACCAAACTCAGGTCCTTATGTTTGCATGACAAGTTCTTTATGGACTAAACCATCTCCCCAGCTCCAAATTAGGGTTTTTTTTTGGAGGTAGAATTCTGCCTTGAATCTGACCTGACAAAGCAAAGAGAACATATGTGGAACCGAATACATTCATGGTTCCCCCATGAGCCACCAGGGTCCCAGAGGCAATGACTTCCCCTGGGGAGAGCTGGATTCCTGTCATGTGACTCAGAGCAGGCTGGCCAGCACCGAAGTACACTTTTCTTATTACAAACATAGTTCTTCTCACTCTAGTTCTACAAATAGACACTATTGTAAAATTGGCTCTGGACACTTCACACCCAAGCTGACTTGACCCTCTAACCACAGAATTACCAAGTCAAATGGACTGCACTGTAAAGCCTTCCACCTCCATAATTTAATCAAAGATAACAGCAAATAGAATGAAAGTCTGCTCATGGGAAAGGACAACAGAAATATGGGGAAACTAAAGACTTAAGTTTTATGTATGTCTTGGATCTTTTTGGCAGAGACCCAACTAGCAAAAGGAAGGAAAAAAAAACATTAGCTGGCATATTTCCACATCTCAAAAACCCTCATACAGTCAGGGAAATCTCGGCAGAGTCTCTTCACAAAAAGACCCAAAGGCAAGACCTACATAAAAGTTTAAGCTCTGGACACAGCTAGACCAGAAAAGCCATTGGTGGCTTCATGAATGCAGGGGCATACCTCTGTCCCCATGAGAAGTCTCTCAGGAAGCGTGTCCATCAATCATTTGAAAGGAAACAGTACATTCCATCTGAAGGTCTCTCATCAAAAGTAATAATTAGGAGTGTGTACTTCCAAGAAACCTGAGCTCACTCATCTTGAAATTGCTACCCAGGAGCCATACCACCTCAGACATCCCCTCTCTCCCTCTCAGCATCTGCTCCCTTGTTTCTACGATGAAGACTGACCCTTGTCCTTCGGGGATGTAGCGTGGATAGAAGGAATGTGTAGGGTTACAGTCCATCATAGTGGCAGAAGCAGGTAGCAAAACAAAACAACAACAAAAAAAACCAACAGATGTACAGAGGCTACTGGCTGCCTTAGATCTTATAGAGAGGCAGATACTATAAGCAGCAATGGCTCCATCTCGGGCCATCCACAGGCTGCTGAATCATTCAGCGTCCAATGTGACCCTCTCCCAGCCAGGGAGGCCTGGCCCCTGTATGGTGGGAGAAACACTTGCAAAAGAAGCAGGTATCATTACTGGAAACTGAGGCACAGAGAGGTGAAAATGTTCATGGGAGACTTGAATCCAGAATGTGCTTAACTCCCACGACAGGTGGTCCTAACTTCACAGGGATTATTTCAGAACAAATTCGACACTACATAGAAAAGTCGACTTTTAAAAAGCAAGGATCTGACAAATAGTGACCTATAAGTAGTAGCCAAAGAGGGAAGAGAGAAGAAGGGTAAAAATCAAATCATCAAACTTCAATCACTAGCAAGTGGGTTTAGGGTTCAGGGTTTGTCAGGGCTCCAAGGGAAATTTGCCTTTTGGTTTTGCGTGGTTAGCAACATTGCTTATGAAGCCCTCTACAACAGGATAGTCTATATGGAAAAGTTGCAGTGTTTAGCAGTAGAGACAACAGAATTTCTTTTCTTTTCTTTTTTTTAATGAGACAGGGTTTCTCTGTATTGTTTTGGAGGCTGTCGGATCAGCCCCGCCTCGAACTCACAGAGATCCACCTACCTCTGCCTCCCAAGTGCTGGGATTAAAGGCATACGCCACTACCGCCCAGCGAGACAACAGAATTTCTGACTTGTTCAAACCACTTTCACCTGGCCCTTATTCAATGCTTTGTGCCACCAGGCAACATTAGAAGCTTGTTTCCTTTCATCTCCTGTAATCCTCTCAAGAGTCCCAGGGAAATCTGACCTTGGTCTCATATAGCTCACAGTGAAACCAGGGTACATAGAGCTCACATTGGTTGGTTGGTTGGTTGGTTGGTTGGTTGGTTGGTTGGTTGGTTGGTTGGTTGATTGGTTGGTTGGTTGGTTGGTTGTTTTTTCAAGACAGGATTTCTCTGTGTAGCCCTGGCTGTCTTAGATCTAACTTTGTAGACCAGGCTGACCTTGAACTCACAGAGATCACCCTGCCTCTGTGCCAAGTGCTGGGATTAAAGGTGTGTGCACCACTGCCTGGTGATCTCACATTGTTTTACTGAGCTCTCTCAGCTGATAAATACCTGGTCAACATTTAGACTCAGATCCACTTACCCCGGAATAAGTGTCCTTGTTCTCTGCCCCAGAATATCTGAGGTGCCGTGGCCTCAGGGACAGTCCATGTGGGAGAGTTAGTTTTCACTGTCAACTTGACACAGTAAGCTTGCATGCATTCTCTCTTCTCTTGACTACGGATATGACTGGCTGCTAAACTTCCTCACTGCTTCGAGTTCCTGCTAAACTTCCTCGCAACGATGGAGTGCAATATGGAATTGTAAACCTTTCTTCTGTAAATTGTCTCTTGTCAAGACATTCTTTCATAGCGACATACATGCAAGCAGGATACCATATGTCCTAGTTTGCTGTGCTAAAAACACTATGGCAAAAGCATCTTGGTGAAGAAATGGTTTATTATACTTTATAATACTCTATCACGAGAAGTCAGGACAGGAACTCAAAGTAGGAACTCAAGCAGAAACCATGGGAAAATGCTGCTTACTAGCTTGTTCCTCATGCCTCACTCAGCCTACCTTCTTTTTTTTTTTTTTTTTTTTTTTTTGGTTTTTATGAGACAGGGTTTCTCTGTATTGTTTTGGAGGCTGTCGGTCCAGCCCGGCCTCGAACTCACAGAGATCCGCCTGCCTCTGCCTCCTGAGTGCTGGGATTAAAGGCATGCGCCACCACCGCCTGGCTCAGCCTACCTTCTTATGGAACCCAGGGCCACTTGCCCCAGTGTGACACCACCCATAATGGGCTGGGCCCTCCCCCATCAACCATTAATTAAGAAAATGCTCTTTAGGCTTGTATATTCTGGAGGCATTTTCTCAACTGAGATTCCCTCCTCTCTGATGACTCCAGCTTGTGTCAAGTTGACACAAAAGTAGGTAGCACAATTGACTCCTTGCCAACTTGACACACAAACACAGCACTGTTAAGCTATCACCTTTCCTTCCTTATCCATTCCCAAGGCCACATATTAATATCAACCTCTCAATATATAACATTTTGCAGACTTAAAAAGTCCCACGGTCTTTACGAATTCAAACACTTAGAGATCCAGTCTCTTTAAAAATCCAAAGTCTCTTTTAAGACCCCCAATATCGTTAAAAGTTCAAAGTCTCTCAACTCTGGGTTCCTATAAAATCATGATAAATTAAATACTTTCTTACTTCAAGAGGGAAGAAACAGGGCACAGTCACAGTTTGAACAAAGCAAAGCTAAACTCCGATGTAAATTATTTAATGTCCAATATTTGGAATTCACTCATGATTTTCCGTATCCCTCCAAAGGGCCTAGGTCACTTCCCTAGCTCTGCCCTCTGCTGTACAGCTTGTTTTCCAGGCTCTGGCTGGGTCTGCTCCACTGCTGCTATTCTTGGTGGTCATCACAGGGTACTGGTATCTCCAAAATGCTGGGGTCTTTTGATGCAACTGGGCTCTCTTCAGGGACTCCAGCCCTGTTACCGGTGCCAAACCTCACCTGCTTTCCGTGACCCCATTCACACCTTCAAAACTGGCACCACATGGGCAAACTCTTACCCATTACCAAGCTCATCTACCAGACGGAGATACAACCTTGGCCACATCTGGAACACAACTTCTGTGTACTAACTCTGAGTTTCACCTTAATAATGCTGGTGGTGTCTTTTTTTTTTTTTTTTTTTTTTTTTTGGTTTTACGAGACAGGGTTTCTCTGTATTATTTTGGAGGCTGTCGGTCCAGCCTGGCCTCGAACTCACCAAGTGCTGGGATTAAAGGCATGCGCCACCACCGCCTGGCTTGGTGGTGTCTTTTTAACGGCTAATGTCTCTGGCTCCAGCTGACCAGCATTTGTCTGGGCAAAGCAAAGATTTCACTTTCGCAATTCTGGCTTCTTGTCCATCATAGCTTATTCCTCGACACCAGCTGACCAGAACCACGGTGTCTTAATCCAACACAGCAAATGGCTCTGAGAGTCTTTAAACTTCCCTCTGAGACTTCATGAGTCAAGTCTTCATTGCCTACACTGACCTCAACATTCTTGTCTTCCAAGCTCCTAAAGAACAGCCCACTGAGCTCTCAATGCTCAATGGCTTTTATAGCCCAAAGTTCCATAGTACTTCCACAGTCCTCCCAAAATCACATGGTCAGGTCCCTCACAGCAATATCCCACTCCTGGTACCAACTGCTATCTTAGTTATGGTTACTCTTGCTGTAAAGAAACACCATGGCCAA